CAAGCGTTTTGCCACCAAGTACTAAGTCATCTTTTGCAAAGGGATCAAATACTTATTTCACTCATTTTAATGCATATCAATCTCTGACTGACTGGGTTTCTGGGAGTTTTCTTGTTGTTGTTCTGTCCCACACAGCTACAATAAACCTACCATTAAAATTATGGACTGGTCATTTCTGCACCAAAGGGCAAATGGGCAAAGTTAGCAGGGGGTCAAATACTTCCCCCCCTCACTGTATATAATGCACATTTTAAAATTTATTTCTAGATCATAGACTAGTCACAATCTTCACCTGAAGAAAAAGTGCTCTGACTCCAAACGGTGGTTGAGAAATCACAGCAATGCCTCCTAGAACAGTTAGTGGCTCTTTTAATGACCTAACTTTACTTCCTGGCACTTCGAGAAACTTATTGCACACAAAATGCAAGCTATGTGCAGGGCTGATTTGCAGAAAGGATGACCTAAAAGCCAAAACAGTAATGTGTGTTCCTGTTAATCAATCTGCTCAAAACATACAGCATTTATTTGCTGGCTACATAACCACTATTATGACCGGTTACCATGCTTAGCTGTTAAAGATACAACGGAAATTGACATCCTTATACTAAAGCCTTGTTAGTTTTTATCTGAAAAAGAGGCCAAGCAGCCTCTAACTTATGCTTTTAATTTAGTTTAATAGAACACATTTCAGACTTCCTCATCTATCCCCCCACCACCACACATAATGCCTAGGTATTGTAACATCAACCAGTGTCCCCATACATTGATATGGTTAACTTCCAAGTTCAAACTTTTCCAAGTAAGTGGATGAGTTTCTCAATGCCAGACACATAAAGTATCACGAAAGAATGCCTACTGCCACATTGACCTAGCAGCTGCAATGAATAAATAGGGATAAACCCTAGTGAACACAGGCCCTTAGGTAATTTTAACACCTGCTCATAGAGAAAAGGGCAAAAAAGGAAAATATAAAACATGATCACAATTCCAGTGGTGTGCACATGAAAATACAATAATGACAAGTAACTGTCAATCAATATCTTGTGCATTTATCCAAATATCTATTCTTTATGTGGGCCTCAACTACAATGTACTGTACCAAAGCAGAAACACAAAACAGACCCAACCCCCCAGAAAAACAAACCCGACGCCAAATGCAAAGAACACTGTTATGAGCTAACAATTAGAACCCATAATAGAGAGTATGGGGTTACTATTAAACTCAAAATATACTATGCATTTTACTAATTGCAAGATATGTGTACTAAATAGATAAATGTCATCTAGTCTGCCCTGGTGAGCTTTCAGATGTAAGATAAAAATTAAACTAATAAAATTTGATAGTATTATTTTAAAGCTATTAACAATAATTTCATGCCATCCAAATAGTGCAATTTCAAATGTTTCTGCAAATGCAGGTACAATTCCAAACATACAGACTGTGAAATATGTTCTGCTCACTTCTAAATTAATCTGCTTTGGGTCAGTTAGAAGTCTGCAGTACTGTACTTTAACCCAGTTGGAATGTGAATTAAAATTCACATTCACAGCTATTGGTTTTTTAATAAAGAATGTTACCAACTTTTAAAATCTCATTCAATTGTACAAGCTACTCCAGTAAGCACTTAAAATATGTAAAAACTTGTATAAAAAATATAAAAGACCAGGGAAAATGTTCTACTAATCAAGCAAGCTTCTGCTTCATGCCACTTTTTATTTATATATATATTTCACTGAAGAATTTCAGGTCAAATACTGTTGCAGAAGCTGTCATATTTTTGGCAAAGGAGCAGAACTGCATTTCCTTTCCATCACAAAGAGGTCACATGTGATCACACTGACAGATTACACAGTTCTACAAATAATGCTTGTATAAGATTTATGTAAGCCCTGCTGTAGAAGAAAATTGGTGGCAACATTCTAGGGGGGGAAAGAGTTTAAAACTCTTATGAGGAGGCCTTGAGAAGTTAAAAATGATCCCATCACTATATCCCATGTATTTATGCCACGATGTAAAAATTTCAATAAAACTATTTACTCCACCCACCCGGCTTTATTTGGAGACTGAAAAGCATCAAAAGATTAAAAACCTAGAACATCTGCCAATCCCCTAGCCCCAACAAAACAAATCTGTTAATTAAAAAAAAAAAAGCTTATCAAAGTCAGAAAAGGAATTTAAACATGATTTGGTTTGGTGAAGCTGTGTTTAGTTGAAAACGAAGAGTTGCCTTCCTGCAAACGCCATCTTGTTGCAGTTACCGGGCCCAGCACAAAAAGATCCATTCATTCCCCGAAAAAAATGGGGGGGGAGAGAACAAGCACACCCTCCATAATCTGCAACCACTAAAACAATTGACCTATTCAATCCCCTCTTCCCAAAATTACAAAAGAGAGAATGCTTAATATCTAAGATTAATTAAGATCTCATCTTCATCTCGTTTTCTAACATGCATTTCACAAAACCAGCAGAAGCGGTTTGTCTTTATTTACAAGCCTGTGCTTAGAAGGAAAGCCTCAAAATGTGCAACAAACCTCTCCTCAGACTATGTACATAAATGGCGACAGCAGCCTCCTTTCAATTTTTGGTATTATTCTTTCACCACATCCAAATCCACATGGATAGGTGGTGTGAGAAGCAGCTTTCCCCATTTCCAAGCTTTCATTTTTTTTAAGGAAACAGCATTTGCCTTGTTTAAAGTGGCTAAAATATATATATCTTGCATAAAATGTGTTTGAATAAGTGGTTTTGCTAAGGCAAGCATGACAAAAAATCACATTCGTTAAATTTTTAGTTCTTCATCACAGTGACAAATTGATAACCTCTATATCATTCTAATATTCTTCTTGACACATTATTTTAAAAATAAAATAAGATCCTTCCTTATCTTCTGGATTAATTCATTATTTAAAGTCACACAATAGTCTCCACAAGCATTTCCATTATGTGGTTTTAGAAATTCACCTAGTTATTTAAAAAAAAAACTTTTACTACAAAAGCAATTTTCCTTAAATTGCTTTTTTTTTAAAAAACAAACACAAAAATCATATTTGCACGCTCCCTGGTTCTCCAGCAGCCAACGTCTACCCTGAGCAGACATTAATGGCAAAATTATACAACACCTATTAAAGCAGAAAAGCAACTAAAAAAACACAACAGCTAAATCTCTCTGCTATGACAGTGAAAGTAGAAGCATTTCTTATTCTCTCCCCGCCTCCAAACCATTTCCTACCGTAGGAAGAAGAAAACCACCAAGATTCCATTTTCTTAGCCTTCTCCTTGGCCAGGGGTTGCCTAAAGCAATCTCACCCTGTTTTCCTCTCCTCCACCCAATCAATTTTCCACCATTACAGTACCAGCCACACACAAACAGCACTCTCTTGATATTTTCTCCCAAGCATCCTCTGTGGACTGGCTTGCCTCCTTCCCCTCCCCCCACTTCTAGCCTCAACGCATGCAGAAAAGAACCAGTTCTTCAACACCCCCCCCTACACACACACACACACACACACACACACCCTTTTCCTATCTCTGGCCAGCAGCTACAGAAAAACACTCCCCCTCCCTGGTGTTCTGAGATGGGTGGGACAGTGATGGAGACAATGAAAGCAAAAAAAACCCGAAATGGTTATTTCTTGATTTCCTGTGTCAGCAGCCCTAACAAAAAAGGGCAGGGCACCTCGCCTAGTCAGGAAGGATGGCATTGTAAGATGGGGGGAGAGGACAGGATAGAGAAGGGGAGAGAGAAAAAAGAGAGCGCAAAATGGAGGGGAGTAGATAGGGAAAGGATTTGAAACAGCAAGGGAGAGTATTAAAAAGGGAGGGGAAAGCAGAAGTAGCTGTAATAGGGAAGGGCAGTCTAAAGCAGCTGGGAGGGGGAAATTCTGCGGAGAGAGGTAAAAACAGAGGGGTGAAAGAGAAAGAAGTGGGGCAGAAAGGAGCAAGATTTAAGTCATGATGTAGGAAGGAGATGAAAGTGTATGAGGTGAAAGGAAAGAGAAAATATGGGGGAAATTGATCAGTACAGTACTCAAATTTCAAGGAGGGGCAGCCTTCCTCCCTCTTAGTTTTTGCATTGCTCTTTTTAGAAGGCTAGAGAGGGAAGAGAAGCATGATTTGGCTAAAACAGGAGGGACCCAGGGTTGGGGATTTTATTCAAAGGTTCCCCCGTCCCCCATAACTGAAACACACTGAAATGTTTTTCTTTTTTTGCCAACAATTTGGTTTTTTTAAAAAAGAGATGATATGGGGGGACAGATATCTAGGTGGGAGAGGTGAGGAGAGAGTATTTTAAGGTGGGGGGGAGAGAAAATGATTTAAAAAGGGAGGAGCATGTGAAGGGGCGTAATGGAGGCTTCTGCGGGGGTGGCAGAGGAAGAAAGGGGGTTAGGAGCACCTAAAAAACAGGGCCGTAGGGAGAGAAACAGGATTGGCTGATGTTGAGAGTTTAGAAAATACTGATTAAAAGACAAGGGCTTAAGGTGATTTAACAAGGGCCTGGAGAGATCGTAATGGGGCGGGGGGTTGGAATAGGGTCTCCGCGGAGAGATTTGTCGGGACTGCATGCACAAGATCAGTGATTGGGAGGTGGTTGGGTTTTTTTAAAAGATGGGATGATTAAGGCCTGATTTTCGGCGTGGGGAAATGAACAAGGTTTCCCGATTTTACAGGATTAACCGAATGAGGCCTGTGGGTGGGAAGAGTATGTGATGGGGACGGGTCTCCCCCCCCCCGATCGGGTCAGTAAGGCCTGTTTTTCAGGGTGGGGATGTGAACAGGGGCTGTCATGGGGCTTGGGGGGGGTTAGGAACGGGGTGAACGAGGCCTGTTTTTTCAGGGTGGGGATACGAACTGGGTCCGTAAGAAGGACGGCAAGCAAAGCTGTAAAGGGTGGGGTGGGGGAACGTGATTCGGATCCCTGCGAGGGAGATTTCGAAACAACGCCGCCCACCCCCCCCTCCAATAATACTACATATTATGCTTTCCTCTCTCTTTCTCTCACCTTCCTCGACGGTCGTTGCTCATCCACGGCCTCCGCCGCCGCCCCCAGCCAATACGCCCTCCTCTCCTCCTTTCTCCCTCCCCGCCGGGCGGGCGACCCCCTCGCAAGACCCCCGCCGAGAGGCGCCGGTTCTCCTCCTCCTTCCTCCTCCTCCCAGTCAATTCAGTCCGTCAGGCCAGCCAGCGGGGCAGGAGGCAGCGTCGAGGGAGGAAGCAGAGAGGAGGAGGAAGAGGAAGAGGAGGAAACCGGGGGGAGGAATGGAGGAGGGGGGGACACAGAAAGAGAAATAAACCGGGAGGGGGAGGAGGAGGAGGAAGCTCCTACTGCTGCTGCTGCCGCCTCGTCGCCGCCGCCGTCCGTCCCGCGCTGCGCTTGGCAGCCGCTCCGTTTCCTCACGAAGAGACGCACCGAGGAGGAGGGGGGGGAGAGAGAGAGAGAAGAGGGAGGGCGGCGGCTGCACCACCAACAGGAACGTCGAATCTAGAGGAGGCGGGCGGGCGGGCAAGGGGTCCCCTGAGGGAGTCGCTCGGGCGGGCAGGTTTTGTTATGTGTGGGAGGTTGTTTCCTCCTCCTCCTCTCGGTTTTTCTTTCTTTCTCTTCGCGCTCCTCGGTTTTTTGTTTTAAAAAAGCTATGGTGGGTGGGTGTGGGCTCAGCCGCTCAGCTCCCGCTCGCGGCCATAGGGAAAGCAGCGGAGTCTCGGCTGGCTGGGTTGGGCGCGGCAGGCGAGGGTAGGCGGCAACTCCCCGCTTGCTTGCTTCCTTCCTTCCTTCCTCTCTCTCTCTCTCTCTGCCGCTCGCTCGCTCGCTCGCTCGCTTCCCCGCCCTTGCGGCCCGGCTGGGAAACCCCGAGCACGGCCGTTTGGCCTGCCTGGGTTCTCTCTCTCTCTCTCTCTCCCCCCCCCCTCCTCGACCTCCCCCTCCCCCAGTCTCGTGCCGCCTCTTTCCTGGAACTGAAAACCAGGCAGTTTGAGGTGCTTTTTTTAATACTGTAAATAAAAAAATAAAATAAATAATCAAAGTTAAAATAAGTCACTTCATGCTGCTTTGGGGTTCTTTTCTCCTTTTGGGTCATGCCCACCTCCGGCCTTTCTCACAGGCTGCGTGTGAGGCGATTTTGTTACACTAGTCGTTTCCAATAAATAAAAACGTCATGATTAGGAAGGAAGGAAGGGGGCGGGAAAGTTAAAAGGAGCCCCTTCGTGGTGGTGAAGGAAGGCAACATGGGTGGTCTTTGTAGGGTTGCCATGTTGTCCTCTTTCTCCAGGACACGTCCTTTTTTTTCCCCCCGGGGTAAAATTTGAGGCAAATTGCCTTTATTTGCTTTGAATGGCCGTCATAGCGCCCTCTTTTTCTTTTTTTCTCCTTCAAAATAGGGCAACCCTACCTTTTGGTTCCCAGTACTTACAATCTTTCTCACAGACAAAGCCAGGCTACGTGAGGGGATTCGTTTATTTTGGGGGGAGGGGAGTCATTTGTGTGAAAGGATATTTTTTTTGTTTCGTTGTGAATAAGAAAGTTATTGTAGTAAAAGTTAAAAGTTACTTAACGGCGATTCCAAATATAACTGGTTCTTTCTCCTTTTGGCCCGCCCCCAATCCGAAAACCAAGCTATGTGAGGTGTTTTGTTTTGTTTTAAGAGAAATGGATTTCCCCCCTTTTTAACATTGTTGTTAATGACAAAAGTGTTTTGTTTTTTAAAAAAGTCACTTCATGATGATATTGAAACATGTCATATCTCTCCCTTTTCTCACAGGAACCCAGACTGTAGAGGTTTGTGTTTAGAAAAAAATGATGATGATGATAAACTTAAGTCACTTCATGATGATTTGAAACATAGTTTTAAAAAAAAGATTTAAAATTAAATAATGTTGGGGAGAGTGAATGAAAGGACAGGCTACGTATGGAAAGGAAGAACACCACCTCACAATGTGCAAAGATAGCATAAAAGGGGGGAAATGATAAACAGAGAAAATAGCAAAAGGTTAAAGAGTGCAGTCTTTAACATAGATTTGGCCAGTTGCATTTTATACCTATCCATCCCTAAGACTTTAAAGAGAAACAAAGAGATTGTCAACAATGAAAGCAGGCTGTCAGATTATTTGATTTTTAAACTGAATTTTAAAAAAAGTTTTAAATATATGCTGGGTTGAATCCAAATTTAGTTATGCTTATACCCATTAGCAGGGGTTCTGAGAGTGCTGTACCTGGCCCCACAGCCAGTAGGTCCCCTATTTGCACTTTAATTTAAAACAAAATCCCAAGTCTCTAGTCCTCTTAAAAAGACAGTTATGAAGCAAAATATGCAGATAACCTTTGGAGTGATTTTAGTTAGATGACCCAGCCTGACTGCTTCCACCTTTCCGTGTTTTTATCCAATGAGTAAATGAGAGGTGGAATTGATGAGTGAATCGTTTGGACACCAGGGTCATGAAGAGCTGCTATATATTTTTTCCACATCGTTTTCTAGTCTATTTGTCATTTTCTAGACATCTATTTGTCATTTTCTAATGACAAAGTGCCCTTCCTTTTCACCTAGCTACCAGGATTACTACACAATAAGTTCAGGTGGACGTTAAAGAATTCCCAATAACAAATACAAACTTTGCAAAGAGTCTTAGGCATGTCTCTTGTGCAGAACCTAAAGCCAAACACTCATTAAGAATCCACTGTATACAGTTCACTTAAAGTACAATGCTATGCATATCTACTTAAAAGTACGTCTCTTCGTGCTTAATGGGGTTTACTTTGGGGTATGCTAGAATAGTTGCCTTGGCTTTAGTTTAGGATTGGCACTGTGGGAAAATGGGGTTCTTGTGCCTTTAGCAACTGTCACAGGTAGAATTTCATGAAAGCCTCTTCTAATATGGGAAAAGCTTCACTTGATCATTCTGTCCATCAGACTTTTATTATCTGTGTGTGCCCCTAATTTGTACAGGAACAAAACATATGCAAATCTTATGCAAGTCTGTCTTCTTTTGCAAGTAGGTTGTAGAGGAATAATCCACAAACATTGTAGTAGACATGGTTGACACCGCTGCCCTCTAGTCCACTCTAAGCATGGCTAAGAATGGTTTGAGCTCAATAAGAATATATACAGCCAAGAGATCAAAACAAAATGCAAGATTAAAAGGTTAGGCTGTGATCTTGTACTCACATAAATCTTCTCTACATTTATTGTGGGGTGGGGAGGATCATAATTTTCAGCACTGGCTACGTGCCAAATTCAAAACTAAAATAAAGTCAGTGAGTGATCAGCAATTATTGGGAAGAGAATCTAGCCCCACTGCCATGGGTCATAACATAGCTTTCATCAGTTGCATGTTGATAATGAAATCTTGAGAACAGAACAAAATAATTCTTTATCTGGTTGCTGTTTTTTTTAAATGAGTCACCTTATAATAAAAAGTTATGAATAGCAAAGTTGAATTATTAATAGCTCCCCCAAATCCAAAAAGAATGGATTGCTTATCTCTCCCCATTCCCTCTGTTTCGGTGGTGCTACATCTGGACAAGTCTGGATCTTTATTTGTCTCAGAAGCAACCATAATGATGACATCAATTATTGATAGATGATTTTGTGTGAAAAAAACACATCCCGCCATTTGGGGAAGCTGAAATGCAGCAAGGAAGCAAGCAGCCATATATGACTAATACTGAGTATCTTGCAGAAGTCCTGTAAGCTATTTTTCAGGATGAAATAAAGCTGGTATAGTTTGGGTCTTTAATGTCAATTGGTAACCTCTTTAAAATAAATTTAATCCCAACCTCACCTTTTGGTGAAATGAACTGGACTCTGTATTTGATTTTACTGCACTGTTACCCTGGAGAGAGCCCTGCCTGAAACCCCAGAGAGCTGTTGCCAGTCAGTGTAGACAGGACTGAGCTAGATGGATCAATGGTCTGACTCAGTATAAGGCAGCTTCCTGTGTTCTGTTCCTCAGATCTTCCAGGATGGAGCAGGCTGTAAGTCTGAATACAGGGGGGAAATGATTCTATTTTTAAGCTGAAGCTGTGTTTTTCAACAGGGCATTTTAAAAGTAATAGACTGCAAGGTGGGAGCCCCCAGCCTGTAAGAGAGCCCCCTCTGCCACCAGAGAGTATCTGTAGGAAAGGAAGTTGTCTTTCAGATATTTTGGGACTCACTACTAGAAAGCACTTGTTGACTATGAGCAACTGTGTAAATTGGAAGGACTAATATGAAAAGTGAACAGTATTGTAAAAAAAGGTAAAGGTACCCCTGCCCGTACGGGCCAGTCTTGCCAAACTCTAGGGTTGTGCGCTCATCTCACTCTATAGGCCGGGAGCCAGCGCTGTCCGCAGACACTTCCGGGTCACGTGACCAGCGTGACGAAGCTGCTCTGGCGAGCCAGCACCAGAGCAGCACACGGAAACACCGTTTACCTTCCCGCTAGAAAGCGGTCCCTATTTATCTACTTGCACCCGGGGGTGCTTCCGAACTGCTAGGTTGGCAGGCGCTGGGACCGAGCAGCGGGAGCGCACCCCGCCGCGGGGATTTGAACCGCCGACCATGCGATCGGCAAGTCCTAGGCGCTGAGGTTTTACCAACAGCGCCACCCGCGTCCCATCGAACAGTATTGTAGGAGAAAATAAATGCTAGACCTCATATAGCAAAGACTACAAGGTCTAACCCAGAGATGGAGCACCCGTGCTAGGAATGGTTGAACACCCTCAGTTGATTTTCATCCATGCATGCATACAAAAGAAGTCTGTCCCATCCTGATTCCATGCAGATTTTTAGGGGAAATCCTAAAAAAAAATCATTTGGGGGACAGGTCTTTCCAGCGGTAAATGTAGATACTGCACTTAGAAGGTGATCAGAGGGCTGATTTCATTCTTATGTAACAGTTTGAAGTTTTCTGCCAGACAGAAAAGCATTTTTATTTTATTTTTAATACTCCAGGAAGTAGCCCCATGTTGCTTCCTGGTTAATTGTATGTAGTACAGTATGTACAAGAGGATTTTATACAGGGGTTGGAAATGGCTGCCTGCATCAGCATTGATGGCTCTTAGTCATTTCCTTAAATGGAAGGAGCACTTTTGTTCACCACTCCAGATCCAAGTTAGGGATGGGTGAATCAGAGGCGGATTTAGGAGAATGCAACTGGTTCACCTGCAATGGACACTAAGCCAAGAGGGTGCCGCAATAATGACTTCAAACGGAAGGCGAGAGGTGGGGGGATTTTGGCGTTGCACAAGGCGCCACTGAAATTTGTAAGCCCAAAATCTGCCACTGGGCAAATGTTTCAGTTTCTCATTTTTCCAGTGGTTCAGTTCTCCACATTTCCACACCAGTATGCAATTTAAGAAAAGAAAAAAAGTATTTGTGAAGGTTCATCATCAGCATTTCACCTACCATGCATTTTTGTATGCAATTTTGCCTAATATATCCATTTTTACAAAACAGTTTCCCCATACATAATGCATTTAGTAGGTTGTTTTGACTAATACATACATTTATATGCACATTGTACCTCCTTGCATGCATTTTTGTGCTCACTGCAAAATCTGGAAAAGTGCAAGTTTCAAAGGACAGCCGTGTTTCAGTTCTTGTATTGCTTCATAATGGGGCACATTAGGTAGGTTCCCCTTTAAATGTGAACAGCATCAAAATTATCCCCTACATCTCTAACCCATGTGAACCAACAGATACGTGGCCACATCCAGGGCTGGCCCACTCATGAGACAAGGTGAGGCAACTGTCTCAGGTGGCAGGATCCACTAGGGTAGCAGGTCCAGATTTTGATGTTCCTTACCGCTTTGTTCCTGATATAGATCTTCCCTCACGCCTTCTTCCCTGGTGGGGAGTGGGGTGCCATTTTGGCGTCTGCCTCAGGTGCCAAAATGTATTGGGGCCAGCCCTGCCCATATCACAGAGCCAGTTGAAATCATGTTTCTTCTAAAAAGATGTAAGGGTAGTATAGTACTAAGGTGATCCATACCACTGGAGATTGCATTACTGTTCTGTCCCCCCCCCTTTTAAATTTTCTGAAAAAGACAGGAAGCAACACAGGATGGGGGACAGGGTAGACACCTAAGGAAAACAGCCATTTGATGATGACATCATAATGTAGATTCCCCACGAAATCTGAGTGAGCAAATTGCAATTCCCACAGTAAGCATCTAGTATAGAAGCATCTTAAGTGGAAAAGGTTATGAAAGAAAGTATTACACGCTCCAGGGAAAGGAACCAGCTCTTTTCAGCACTGGCATGCACTACGCTTTCTAAACAATCCATAAACTCCTGCTTTTGGGCAAAACTGAATAAAACTGCATCATGCTTTAGGAAGGGCTCAGAAGGCAGATTTTAGAGGGCACATCTTTAGCACTTTAGGGTTTTAAAAAAAACAAACAAACAAAAATTAAAAGCCTAATTCTCAGCCATTAAACAATATTCAGCTAGCACAGGAGGAAGAAAAAAGGTGGGAGTAACTAATTCAGTCTCCCTAGTTACATTCTTAAAGTCTACATCCCCCCCCTTTCAGCTTGACTGTTTCTTATGCAACAAAGGGGTTATTTTAAACACCTTCTGAAAATAGAGAATTTAAGAGATTAGCAACAATCTTGATCATGAGAAGTTCTTCAGAGCTGATGTGCAGAGAAAGAGCTTCTGAGTGTAATGGAATATTTTGGAGAAGCTGAAAGGCACCTGAATTCTAATGCACTCCCCATAATTTTAGTCATATCCACACCATACATTTAAAGCACATTTCTAACACTTCATGTCTCCCTCCTTCAAAGAACCCTGTGAATTGTAGTTTACCTTGCACAACACCTGTAACAAACTACAGTTCCCATAATTATTGGGGGGGGGAGCCATTTGGTTTAAATGTATGGTTCCTGTCCAGCTAGGTTCCTCTAGTTAACCCATCTAATAAGCACAAGGGAATTTGAAAGTACCACATTCAAAACACATCATTTCAGGTAACCCATTAGAATGCACAAGTGGGAGCTCCAAAAAAATATTACAGTGTGACGTGCTTTTGTTCAGGATCCCAACCAAGCAGCCACACCCTTCCCCAGGATACTCCATTCTGCTTCTCACCCTGGTCTGCAACTGACACTCACCATCCACTGAATACAGTCTTCATTGGGCTGTTTTAGAGGGTTTCTTGTCACTGGTTCACACACACACACACACACACACACACACACACACACACACACTTGCCTACAAAATGGCCATGCCCTGTTTTCATACCCCACCCCCAGTTTTTATAACAACTTCTGGAAGTCCACAGGTTCCCCCATCTCAGATATCGAGACACAAGACACTTGTCAAGTCAGCTGCATCTTTAGTGGGGGATGGAGACATTTTTACCTTCAGGTTGTGGGCCAATGGAGACTAGTCCATTGGAACAAATGGGTCACTGCCCCACCAACCTCAGCCTGACCTCAGTTCCCTCCCTCCTTCCTATCTTCTTTCTTCCAACCAACAGAGGGGGTGAAACTGGCTGTCATCTTCCTCCTCCTCATTCTCAGTGATGCCCTTGTAGAAACCAGCAAGGAGGATGAGGAAGGGGAGAAAGCAGAAATGGTTGGCTTCACCTGTCAATGGCTCTGGATCCACCTGCCTTCTGCCTCACCAGTCGCAATGGGCACCAGTCACCACTTCTGTGGCTAAATTACAGTCATGTATCTTTCCCTTGAGGACAATGCTTTTTCTTCGCAACTTTCCAGCACAGGGGGCCTGATCCAGATTGGTACCCTCACATGGGGACTGGCTGAGCTTTTAAAATCCTTTGCATGATACTGCTGCTGTGCTGTTACTGAACCGAGTATGCATAAGTGCCTAAGAAGAGTCTGCTGGATCAGGCCAATGGGCCATTGAGTCCAACATCCTGTTCCCATAGTGGCCAACCAGAGGCCTATGGGAAACCCTCAAGCAGGATTCGAGCAAAAGAGCACTGTCCCCTCCTGTGGTTTCCAGCAACTGGTATTAAGAAGCATTACTCGCCTACGACCGTAGCAGTAAAACCTGGTAATTGGGGTTATTAGCCATTGATAGCCTTATCCTCCATGAATTTGTCTAATCATCTTTTAAAGCACCCCAACTTGATGGCCATCACAGTCTCCTGTGAGAATTAGTTCCATAATTTGACTATGGGATGTGTGAAGCAATCCTTTGTTTTATCTGTCCTGAAGCTTCCAACCTTCAGCTTCACTGGTTCTCCAAATTTCTAGTGTTAGGAGAGAGAAAGGAAAACCTTTTTCTATCTACCTACCCCACGCCATGCATAACATTATAAACTTCTATCATGTCACTTCTTTCTTTATTGCTTTTAAACTAAAAAAAATCACAAATGTTGCAACCTTTCCTCATAGGGGAGTATTTCACCACCTTGATAATTGTTGTTGCCCTTTTCTGAACCTTTCCCAACTCTCCTCAGAAATATCCTTTAAAAGTATAGTGTATATTTTGAGGCTATTCCAGCAGCAGCCTGTAACACCTTTGTTTCAGCTTTGTTTTTGTTCAAGGGAGCGTGTCTCTCCCCACACATACACACCCTGGCCATGCTCCCAAACAGCATGAGATGTTCTGCACACTCTCCTCGTCCTCCAGGATCCAATTACAGCACAGGCCCGGCTTCTCGTCAACAAGGGAACCCTGTTCAGCCTCTCGAGTCAGCACCTGTTACTTCACAAATGAACTTGTAAAATGGATGTTTCCATGCAACAGAGCATACATGGAGCAAAAACTTCTTCTAAGCTGCCACTCCAGGGATCAGGCAACCAAACAGTTGCATGGTGAAGCAAGATCATTAGCCAAAGAGCTTGAGCAAGACTCCTGTGGGAGTCATTAAAATGATCACTTATTAGGGGGGAGAAACGTTTAGATTGAGACACCAAATGTAAAAGTGTTGTGTGTGCTTTTAAAGAAGTTAAACAAGTACTGGGGTAGCCACCCTCCACTTTGGAGAGGAGTAACCTTTAAATAGCAGTGGTGCAGAGTTTTGCCATTAAATTATGCATGGGACCCACTTAGCTGAGATGGCTTTTAGAAGGTGGGTAGGGACATCATAGGTATAAAATCATGAATGGAAAAAGTGAATAGAGAGATTCCCCCCCCAAAAAAATCCCCTCATAGTACAGTGGTACCTCGGGTTACATACGCTTCAGGTTACATACACTTCAGGTTACAGACTCCGCTAACCCAGAAATAGTACCTCGGGTTAAGAACTTTGCTTCAGGATGAGAACAGAAATCATGCTCCGGCGGCGCAGCGGCAGCAGGAGGCCCCATTAGCTAAAGTGGTGCTTCAGGTTAAGGACAGTTTCAGCTTAAGAACGGACCTCCGGAACGAATTAAGTACTTAACCCAAGGTGTTGTTGTTTAGTCGTTTAGTTGTGTCCGACTCTTCGTGACCCCATGGACCAGAGCACACCAGACACTCCTGTCTTCCACTGCCTCCCGCAGTTTGGTCAGACTCATGTTTGTAGCTTCGAGAACACTGTCCAACCATCTCGTCCTCTGTCGTCCCCTTCTTCTTGTGCCCTCCATCTTTCCCAACATCAGGGTCTTTTCCAGGGAATCTTCTCTTCTCATGAGGTGGCCAAAGTATTGGAGCCACTAAAACCTGAACTAAAAACCTGATTAACCAAACAAAACAGAAATGTTGAAAGAGTAAAGAAAGTATGTCTTCAAACCACACATGATTAACCTATGGAATTCACTACCACAAGATGAAGCAATGACCACCAACTTGGATGGCTTTAAAAGGGGGTTGGACAAATAAATAATGATATAGCCATCAGTGGCTTCTCGCCAGGCTGCCTGTTTTCTCTCTCTCTACTGTCCGATGCATTAGGCCCCTGAACTCCAGTTGTTGGGAGTCACAAATGAGAAGAGCACTGTTACACTCAGGTCCTGCTTTCGGGCTTCCCCTTGGGGCATCCGGTTGGCAATAGTGAAAACAGGACCCTGGAGTAGATAGGCCTTTGGTCTGATCCAACAGGCCATAGCAAAGACCCGTTTGAAACCCCAGAGAGCTACTGTCAGTCAGTGTAGACAATGCTGAGCTAGATGGACCAATGGTCTGACACAATGTTAGGCAGCTTCCTATGTTCTTATGAACTGCCTCTCGTCTATTTTAATGTCTTATACCATGAGGCAAATCTCTTTTTTGCACATCCAGCCCAGCTTTAAAAACCTGCTGTCTTTAAAACCTCCTGTTTTTCAAATTCTCCACTTCTTCAGTCTCATAATGTGATTTTACCCTTTATCGCATTAATTCAGTTGTCATTATACTAAGACAAAACTAGCTCTGCAACATAAAGTAATAAAGCAGATGGCAAGCACTATCCTTTTTCTCATACACACACAGAATACCCCTTCTAAGATAAAGATGGCTATTATACACAGATGCCTATGGATGAATGTTTTTGGCTTTAAAAACATACCTTAATTTATTTGCTTTGGACATAGTAAAAAAACCAAACTTGCACATACACTAAAATGCATGTACACAATTATGTGGTGGCTAGTGGCGGACTTTAGACAGGATTCTTCAAATCTCCACTCAGCTATGAGGTGAAGGTAAAGGACCCCTGGATGGTTAAGTCCAGTCAAAGGCGACTATGGGATTGTGGCGCTCATCTTGTTTTCAGGCCGAGGGAGCCGGTGTTTGTCCACAGACAGCTTTCTGGGTCATGTGGCCAGCATAACTAAACCACTTCTGGTGTAGCGTGCAACGTGACAGAAACCAGAGCACACGGAAACACTGTTTACCTTCCTGCCACAGCAGTACCTATTTATCTACTTGCACTAGTGTGAATCAGGTGGGCTATCCCATGATTCAGCTGTTAAAAAGTGCAATGACTGAGCTAACATGTTGCCCCAGTAGCATTAGACCAAGCCATTTAGAAGCATGACTGGCTGTGCATGATGCAAATCAAGGCGAACATAGAGACTATTGTGTCTTCGGTAGGTTTTTTTGCAGTGCTGGTGCCAGGCAGGATTTGCATTCTGTTAATATCACATCAGCAAACACAACTCAGTGGATTGTTGGCCTCTGCCATTTGCATGCCTCTGTGGTTTTCAATGCAACATAGCTACATACCCTTTTAGTAGTACCAGCACCAGAATTCAATTATTATTCAACTGGTATTGCTATTGCTTACTGTTCATTTACTACTCATTGTGGGGAAAGCACAAGAAAGAATTGAAATGTTGTCATTCCTAAACAGAGGAGCTTACTAGATCCTGAACACAGAAAGCTGCCCTATACTGAGCCAAACCAGTGGTCCACCAACTATTGTCCACACTGACTTGCGGTGACTCGGTAGGATTTCAGACAGGAGGCATTCTCAGTAGTGCAAACCTAAGAAGAACATAAAGAGAACCCTACTGGATCAAGTCAAAGGCCCATGTCATCTGGTATCCTGTTCTCACAGTGGCCAACCAGATGCCTATTAGAGGAAGCCCAAAAGCAGGATGGGACGCGGGTGGCGCTGTGGGTTAAACCACAGAGCCTAGGAGTTGCCGATCAGAAGGTCGGCAGTTTGAATCCCTGCGACAGTCCCTGCTCCTGCTAACCTAGCAGTTTGAAAGTACATCAAAGTGCAAATAGATAAATAGGTACCGCTCTGGCAGGAAGGTAAATGGCGTTTCCGTGTGCTGCTCTGGTTCGCCAGAACCGGCTTAGTCATGCTGGCCACATGACCCGGAAGCTGTACGCCGGCTCCCTCGGCCAATAAAGCGAGATGAGCGCCGCAACCCCAGAGTCGGCCACGACTGGACCTCATGGTCAGGGGTCCCTTTAAAAGCAGGACCTGAGTGCAACAGCACTCTGCCCACTTGTGATTCCCAGAAACTGACATTCAAAGACATATTGCCTCTTATAGGGTTTCTTGTGTGCCATTCACCACAAGGTCCCAAGGTGGGTTACATGATAAAAATGCAACATCAAAATCAGTGAATCAGGTGGCCACACAGGCATGGCTTGAGTGCAACAGCGCTCTCCCTTCCTGCAGTTTCCAACAACGCGTATTCAGAAGCATTACTGCCTCCAACAGTGAAAGTAGAAGATAGCCACCAGTGTTAGTAGCCATTTGTTGGGGCCAAACAGCTCCTAGCTGGAGGGCTGTGAGCCAGCCAAAATTTGTTACCCTGCAACAGGGGGGAAGGTTTGGTCCGCCAGTTGTTCTTGGACTCTGAATGCCGGTTGCTGGGAATTGTAGTTGGAGAGAGTTGTTGCACTCAGGTCCTACTTGTGAGTTTCCTGTAGGCAACCCGGTCGGCCATTTCCCATAGGATGCTGGACTAGATGGGCCATTGGCTTGACCCAGCAGGCTCTCCTGATGTTATGTTATCTGTAGACAGCTGAAAATCCAGGAATTTGCCTTTCTGCCTGTCCAAGTATTCTGTGGGACATATTTCTGGTGACCCCACAGAAGTGGGGCCTGTCCTGTTGTGCATCTCCCAACCGCCAAGAAGCAGTAGCTGGCAGATCTGTGCCGAGGCACGACAGAGCTCCCTGACATTTGCTATCGCTTGTGTCACGCTATTTATTATTTAGTAGGCCCTAGCAGCAGGAGCATGCTCAGTGGGGCCTTGCGCACGCAGGTGTGTGATTTATTATGTCTCTTTGCATGAGTGGGTGGCATGGATGCATAAATGGCAAGGGTGGAAAACACGCTCCCCACCCCCCACCTCACTTATTTCTTTTTTATTCGTTTTTAAATTCTAGGTGTTAAGCAGTCCCGTAAAAAGCTTTCATCTCCTTACTAATGCTTTACATTCATTGCTATCAACCCAATTTAGGAAAGAAAAAGAAATGGAGATCAAGCATCTGTTAGTAGGTCCCTGCCTCTGCTACCCTGTGGATCTCACTGTGGTTTCTTGGTTACATTAATTCGCATACTTGCAACCCCTTCCACCTTTGCATTTTAAAAATAGCTGGCCAGTTTTCTTCATTTTATGAATTTGGAGAACAGATGTCCATAAATGTGCTCATTAGATGTTAGTTATTCTGTTCTATCCAGCAGTGATAAATGCATTGATGTGGTTTCGGGTACCAAATACCAGCATAAAACACTCTGGGTTGTATACAGTGTTAGTCCTACAGAAAGAAGAGCCATTGAAATTAATGGACATTGCTAACTTAGGTCCATTAACTTCCATGGGTCTACTCTAAGTGAAACTTAGTTGGAGGCAACCATCGATTGAGACCATCTATGGCCAAGAACATAAGAAGAGCCCTGCTGGATCAAGCCAATGGCCCATCTAATCCAACATCATGTTCTCACAATGGACAACCAGATGCCTGCAGGAAACTCAAGGAGGATCTGAGCACCAAGCACGCTCCCCTCCTGTGGTCTCCAGCAACTGGTATTTGGAAGCATTGCTGCGGCTACTAAGCTATGGTGGGCTGCATGCAACTAAGTCATTGAAACTAGTGGTACTAAGTAAGTCCTGCCTATCAGTTTCAATGGGTTTACTCTGAGTAGGACTAACTGGAGACAGCCCAATAGGTATCTTCAACCTCTGCTGTTGGAGGCAGGATATCTCCAAATACCAGTTTGCTGTGGATCACAAGTGGGGAGAGTTGCTGTTGCACTCAGGTCCTGCCTGTGAATTTCCCATTGAGTCATCTGGTTGGCCACTGTGAGATGAAATTGCAGGACCAAATGG